TCAGACAGGTCTCAAGAGAGCTGTGGCCATTCTAATACTTTCATACAGACATGGCAACAATTAGAAGGGGAAAAAAACGGGACTTTTCCTTTTTTTCACTGGCCAGTTTTTTTCAGAAATTCTCATAGATCACCACGTTCTTCTTCCCTTGTTGTTGTTGTTGTGATGTGCCGTGGAGTCAGTTCCGACTCATAGTGACCCTGTACAGGGTTTCCGAGGCTGTAAATCTTTATGGAAACAGAAAGCCTCATCTTTCTCCCGCAGAACAGCTGGTAGTTTCGAACTGCTGACCCTGAGGTTCGCAGCCTGATTCGTAACCACTATGCTACCAGAGCTCCTCTTCCTCCCTGGTGAGGGTCAGTAAGAAAGAAGAAGCTCCTCAGTGAGATAGACTGGCACAGTGACTGCCAACAACAGGCTGAAATGTAACTATTATTAGGCTGGCACAGGACTGGGCAGTGTTTCCTTCTGTAGTGCAGAGGGTCTCTATGAGTCAGAACTGACTCGACAGCAGCTAGCAACCACTTTTCCCAGGCCTTATTTCTAGCTGTAGAAAAAGCATTCTGAAGCCCCTATTTTCAGACCTTCTTATTTCCTGACTTATTAAAAACTCCCAGGAAATATGAAGACATTCTGGCTAGGGCTTGGAGAATGTGTCCTTTGGTTGTTTAAATGATTATATATTCCTGAGAATTTTTGTATACATCTCCCTCTCCTCCCCAAGAAAACAACAGAGGGAACAGAAGCAAAAATATTGTTGAATGATGATGCACGGGGGAGATTGTAATCATTGCAATGAAATGATGTGTGCAAAACCGATGTTCCCCCATGTAAACTATCACTCAATTCACAATAAAAACTCAAAAACAAAACAACCTGGCTAGATTAACAAGGCATAATGCAAAACAACAAATATAGAAGCATTTCTTTATGATGTAGAAAAAGTGTGTTAGTTAAGCTTCTTTCCTTAAAAAATCTTAAGTATCATAAATCTCTATAAGAAAACTTGGCTTTGGTGGTTGAAATGAACAATTAAAGTAGAAGCTTTGTTTATATGGGAACTCTGTTACTATGTTAACAAAATATTATGGCAACACAAGTTCTAATAGCCTTATATTTTGTATTCTCTAAGTTTTTTTCAGGTTGGATCCTGGATATTCTTCCACTTAAATGTATATTTTTTAAACTTTAAAATAACTTAATTACATGATGATGTTAAAATCTGATTGGGGGGATTCTGATTCTTGACAAATTCTTTCTTTCCATTCATTCTTATACAAGCCTGGGATCAACTAGGCACAGAATCACTACAAGTATTGAAAGAGTTGTTGTTAAGTACCATCAAGTTGGTTCTGACTCACAGTAACCCTGTATAGGATTTCCAAGAAGCAGCTGGTAGCGTGGAAACCACTGACCTTTATCACTAGTAGTCCGGTGTTTATCCTAGAGTGTCACACTAGGACTCCACTGAGAGAGTAAGGGGTTTAACATTGGGATTAGGATTTACCCAGATGTGGGAGGAGCTGAGAGAGTAAAGGTCTGGAAGACTAAAGCTGGATAACTGGAAAAAGTCATCATCTACAGATATAGCTTGATATTCTGACATGAGTGGGGGAAATCTGAAGTTCATGGGTGAAAGTTCAAGGAGCTGCACACAGCTATTGGGAACACAGATATGAATTCATGGAGATATGGGTGAAATCCCCATGTCTGTGAAGTAAGAGTTTGCGAAGAGCTGCATGAAGCTGATGACTGTGAGGTATCATCATGCCCAAGAAAGATCCATGCACACAGCTTCTGTGAGGCCACTTCTTTGCTGCCACATCTCCTAAATCCTATGCATGTTTTTCTCATTGGCAAACTATAAACCTCACTGCAAAAGAGAGGACACAAAGTCAGACTTTGTGAGCCATATTTTCTTTAGATAGCCTGTGTAAGTTTGATGTTGTGACACAATAAACAACTGAAAAATTCCAGGTCACCTATCTACTGGTCAGCTGGGGGTTGGCATACTTAGGCTAGGGATGGCTGGGAAGCTAGGCCATATTCCTTTGTGAGAGCTAGCCCAGGCATATTCCTGTGATATTGGCAGAAGCAAAAAGAACAAGTTAAACTACATAAACCCTTTTCAGATTCTGGGCACATCACCCCCACCAAGTGAGCACTGAGCAAAACCCACTCAGCAAAACAAGTCACATCTGGCAAAGCCCAAAGCCAAGAGACAAGGAAATACATTTTACCACTAACGGCACAGAAAGATAGACAGTGAATGTTCTGAACAATAATATACCACACAATTTCTTCCAGATTAGACACAGAGGACTCGTCTGCCCCATTTTCAAATAGAACGGTGCTCAGCACTACAAACCTAATCAATTTCTGGACATTCCTTAAAATGCTCTCTTCCCACATCACCTTCTCACTTTTGCCCACTCACTGTGAGGTGATTTCCTTTCTCTAAAATCAAAAGGTTGTAAAAGAACAGCAGCTCTACTTCTTACTATTCATTACCTCATTAGTTCCTAAGTACTGAATGGTTACTATGTGCCAAGTACTGTGCTGATTGTGGTAGACTTAGAGGCAAGCAGTCCTCTTCATCAAAGAGCTCACATTTTAGTGGACTAGCAGCAGGGAAGAGGTAGCCATAATACAGCGTGTGTAATGGACAGACGCTAAGATGGCCTCTGTATAGTTCTCTCTACTGAGTGTAGGTGGGACCTGAGACTAGTTTCTAACCAATATAGTTAAGGTGATGGGACCTCCCTGGCATGATAATATTACATTATATTTGACTCCATCAGTCTTGCTCTGGGAACTCTCCTTGCTACTGGATGAAGTAGGAGTCCATACTGGAAAAGCCCTTGCAACAAGGAACAGCAGGCCCATCTAGGAACTGCAAGGAGCCTTTATTATAGCTGAAAGCAACTTTCCATCGGTGGCCAGCAAGAAACTGGGGCTTTCAGTCCTACAGCCTCTAGGAAATGAATTCTGTCCATAATTTGAGTGAGTCTGGAAGCAGTTTTTGCCCACCTCATGCTTCCAGATCAGAATGCAGCCCAACTGGCACACAGACATTGCAGTTTATGAAACTCAAAGCAGAGGGTCCAGCTAAGCTCTGCCCAGACTTCAGATGCACAGGAACTGTGATAATAAGTGTTTTGTCTTATGCCCAAGTTTGTGGGAATTTGTCACAGCAACAACAACAAGAAACAAATACAGTGTGATGTGGATATGGTAGCAGGGCTGTGGGAGCCAACAGAGAAAGTCTTCTAGAGAAGGGAGAGAGGCTTCGTAGAGTGTTGGGAGTAAGAGTGTGATAAAGCATAGGGGGCCTCACACATCTACATAAATGACGCAGGAAAAAGCAGCATGACCTACTAGCTCATGCGGTGTCTGGGATGTGAATGGTGACATCGTCAAAGACAGAGAGTAAAGCATTAAAGACTTTGCAATTCACAAAGTATCCTGAAGGAAATGGAAATCGAAGGATTTTAGGCATAGCAAAAACATGAATACATCTGAGCATATAAAGCAGTTGGAAACACAAGGACAGGAATTGCTGTAACTATCAAGTTAATTGAAGGATCTCTTTCTCAGGTGAAGAAGGTGGGGGACTCTCAAAAGACAGAGACCTCAGAAAGGAATAGGGAAATCTTGGAGGAAGCAGAAAGACTTAAGGAGGCAAATTTTATTTATTTATTCATTACCAGTCTTAGCAGGTATCTGGAAATCTGGAAGGAAGCAGAGTAGAATGGAGAAAATCGAGATTGGTCATATAGAGGAGTATATGCTGACTTCAGGGAAAATAAAGCTAGACAGATGGGACCAGGACCCTGGGAGAATCACTGATTTGATGGTTCTTGCCTGTGCCTGGCATCCGTTGTTTGTACTGTTGTTAAGTGCTGTAAAGTCAGTTTTCAAGAAGTGACTGGTGGGTTTGAACCACCAACCTTATGGTTAGCAGCCCAGTGCTAATCTTACAGAGCAACACCAGGGCATTCATATGTTGTTGCATTTAAAGGAGAGGTGGCAAGAAAAACAGTAACTTAATATTTCATAGTGCTTTCCAGTTTACAAAGAATTTTCACACATCAAGGGACTTCAATAATTTGTGGGAAAATGGGATTAAAAGATAATAGAATCTTTCCATGAATTTTTTGAAATTCCCTTATATATGGGGTCATCCACTCACAAAAATCCTATGAGATAGGGTGGGAGATGGTAGAAAGAAATGGTTGTTGAATGTCTTTATGAACTCAGTACCACAGAGAATAAAGAAATTAAAACTTGGAAGTAAAGTGACTTTCTCACAGCTACTGGAGCAGGGATTTAAACCCAAGATCTCTGACCCCCAAATGTCAAGCTGTCTCCTGATTTCCATGATAAATTACCAATTCCTTCTCCTGCTCATATCTGCCCTGAAACGATCCCAACAACTAACACTTTCTTTGAAAACCATCAATTTTATAAGAGCACCAAAACATAACTCATTTTATTTCTTTCTTTGCAATCATCCCTGAATCGACAATGTGTATTAGGGTAGTTTTATTAGTATTTAGTTTGTTTGGGGGCTGATTTTATACTCCTTGAATTTAAAGTTATGTAGCTCTGGTAGCATAGTGGTTACGAATCGGGCTGCGAACCTTAAGGTCAGCGGTTCGAAACTACCAGCTGCTCCGCGGGAGAAAGATGAGGCTATCTACTCCCATAAAGATTTACACCCTCGGAAACCCTGTACAGGGTCGCTATGGGTCGGAACCGACTCGACGGCACTTAACAACAACATTAACCATAATAAGCTTGGAAATATAAATAATTAAACTTTGTCAAGGCATGCAATTTACTTAGTTAACATTTTAGCTTGAGTGAATTGAGCATCCTTAAAAGAGACACAAGAACTAGCTTTCTTAGAGTCCAACATTTTTTGAATACAAGTTTAAATTTATTATTATGGGCTAACATTTTAATTCTAAAAATAAAACCAACTGAACTCAATTTACCTGGAGCTGGGCAGATGCTGACTTTACGGATTGACAAACTGGATTGAAGAGGAGTTTTATTTTCTTTTAAAAACCGAGATATAGCAGCAGCATACCTAGAAAGAGAGAGAGAGAGAAATCATCTAACTTCCCAAATTAATTTGGGGAAGTGTAATTATTGAGAAAAATTAACCAAATAAATGAAATAGAACAGAAAAGTAGGTATGGTTTGAACATGGTGCCTTTTTGAACGTTGGCTAATTTAATGGTACAATGAAATCATTTCAATCTAAGCTTTCCAACAAAATAGTTTTTAGAAAAGCAAAAGGACAAGAGATAGGATTAATATTCTAAGGGTAATAAAACATCATCTGCTGTAGTAAACTGGATTCATTTCCTAAGGCTGCTGTAATAAATTATCATAAACATGGTGGTTTAAAACAGCTGAACTTTATTCATTCACGTTTCTGGAGGCTACAATTCTGAAACCAAATTGTTGGTAGGGCAAGGCTTCCTCTGAAGGCTTAAGGGATGAAAGCTTCCTTGACTCATCACAGCTTCTGGTGGCTCCTGAGAATCCTTGGTGTTCCTACATCACTACAATCACTGCTTTGGTCCTCATAGGGTCTTCTTTCTTGGTGACCTCTCTCCTCTTTTGGATTTAGGAATTAGGGCCCATCCTAATCCAGTATGATCTTATTGTAATTAATTACATGGGCAAAGACCCCATTTCCAAACTGGTTCTCGGCGGACATGATTTGGGTGGGGCTAACATTCAACCTGCTATAAAAATAAAACAAAGCCCACTGCCATCCAATCTATGCCAACTCATAGTGATGTTTTAAGATAAATTAAAGGAGTTTCTGAGACTAAATCTTTACAGAAGCAGACAGCCTCATCTTTCTCCCATGGAACAGTTGGTGGAGTTGAACCTTGTGTTTAGAAGCCCAATGCTTAACAAACTGCATCAGGAAAAATTCATAAACTATCCTAGGAGTGAGGGGGAGCAATCTAGCAGGAGACACCAATAAATTTAAATAAAACAATCACAGAATATCCTTGAAGAAAGAATTCATGTATGGAAAGAACACTTTTTACAAAAACTTCTCTTGGTGGTGACTAGGTTTGGGGAAATATTATGGCAAGGGAAATTGTGGTGACAAAATTGTTTATTGAGGAAAATGAAATGGTACAGAAATACCTTTGACCCACAGGTGTACTTACTTTATAAACTATTACTGAAGTCTTATTCATTTAATAGATACTGAGGGCCTATCTTGTGCTAGGCACAGTTTTAGGAGCTAAGGATACAGGAAAAACACGAGAGACAAGGTCTCTGATCCCATCGAGAAGAGCTTAGAATGAACAAATATGGAGATTAAGATATATCAGTAGTGACATGTGCTGTGATGAAACTAAAAGAAGATAATATAATGCCGAATGACTGGGAAATGGGAGGGCTGCTCAGTTTGGAGAGCCTGAAAAAGCTTCTCTGAGGAGATGCCACGTAAGTTGAAACCTGAATGGCAAGAGCGAGCCATCCATGGAAAGACCAGGAAAGTTGTTCGAGGCAGAGGGATCAGTTTGCTCCTTTTTGGTTCCCGGGAAATGTCTGAACTTGATGAACCGGAAGAGAAAGATGGAGGCCATCTGGCTGGAGCACGACGGACTCAATTCGCACTCAGAGTGACAGAGTAGAACTGCTCCTTAGAGCTTCGGAGGCTGTAAATCTTTACAGGAGCAGACAGACAGCCTCTGGTTTCTCCTGCAGAGCAGCTGGTGGGTTTGAGCTGCCAATCTTTCAGTCAGTAGCCCTGTGTCACGAAGGGTTCACTCAATGGGGATCAGAGTCACTCAAACTACAGTAAAGGAGGAAAAAAGGTAACAGAATAGTCAAGATGTTTTAGACCACTTATAAAAGTCTGGTGGCACAATCGTTCAGGATTCAGCTACTCATTGAAAGGTTGGTGATTTGAACCTACCACTAGCACCGTAGGATAAGCACTGGACTGTGAACTACAAGTTCAAGCCCAGAATCACTCCTCAGAAACCTTATACAGGGTCCGGATGCGTCACAATCAACTCGACAGCACTTGACAACAATTGGCTCTGTGGGAGAAAGACTTGGTAATTACAGTCTAGGAAATGCCAGGGGACAGTTGTACTCTGTCAGATGGGGTCGCTATGAGTTAAAATCCACTCACAGGCAACTAACGATAGACCACTTGCTGTAAGGCATTTGGATTTTATTAAAAGAACAATGAGAAGTTATTACAGTTTCATTTGGTTAGTTTTATTTTTAATCTGTACTCTAAGATTTATTATCTGTCACTAATTTTTTAAAAAAACAGTAAAAGAATCATCTTTATTTTAGTAAAATACAGCCGTTTGGTCTTACTTTTTAATTTTCTTGTTATAGCTTTACCATTTAACCAATTTGTGATTGTATATTCAAAGTGAGTTTCTTGGAGAATAACAAGATCTTTTAATTTATTATAATCTGACAATCTCTGCCATTTAAACAGAGTGCTTAGATAATCTACATTTAATATAATTATCAGTGTGTTATTAAGTGCTGTCGAGTCAGTTCTAACTCATAGTGACCCTATATAGGGTTTCCTACTAGTGGCTGGTGAGTTTGAACTACAGACCATGTAGTTCAAACTGACCTTGAGGTCCAGTGCTTATCCTACAGTGCCACACCATGTGGTAAGGCTTAAAATCTATCACTTCTCTATTCCTGTTCTCTTTATCTGTCCTTTGTTCCTTTTAACCTCTTATATATTGTTTTAAATATTTCATTTTATCACTACTATTGGTTTATTTGGAGTCCTGGTCTGGTACTGTGCGATAATGCACTAGACTGAAAGGTCAATTTGAACTGCAGGTCAGAGGTTCAAATTCACCAGCTACTCCTCAGAAACTCTGCACAGTGTAGCTATGAGTTGGAACAGACTCAATGGTACTTAACAACAACAATGGTTTATTATCACTACCTTTTTGTTTAAAGCATTTTCTAGGGTTTAAACAAACATCATTAACATACTAATCTGCCTTCAAATATTTTGTTGTTGTTGTTGTTGTTAAGTGCTGTCCAGTCAGTTCCAACTAATAGCCACCCTTTATAGGGTTTCTGATAGTAGCTGGTGGGTTTGAACTGCAAATCTTATGATCCAGTATAGAACACCAATATTATACTACTTCCTGTATAATATAAAAACTTTCTAACACTAAATTTCCATTTCGAGTTTACTGTCTTTTGGGCCAGTGTTGTCATATATTATAAATTTGCATAAATTATAAACCCTGCAGTACATTTTTATTAATTTGTGTTAAAAATTTTTTTTGGTCATTAAAAAAAAATAGATTGAAATTAATAAAATTAGTCATATATTTACTCACATGTAAATCATTAGTGTTCTGTAGATCCAAATTTCTATTAGTATAATGCTCTTTCTTTCTGAAAAATGTCAACATTTATTGTAGTGTAGATGCGCAGGTGAAACTCAACTTTTTGGTCTGGATTTGAGGGATATTTTCACTGGGTATAGAATTCTAGATTAACCAATTTTTTTGTCACTCACTTTTTTTTTTTTTTAATTTAAGGTTTTTATTGTG